TGTTGCTTGACACACCTTCAAGTGCTGAAGGACTAGGGGACAGAGAGACTCATTTGGAGAGTAATGCCCAGGCTGATGCGATACTGGTCCCAGGTCCAACCCATGCCCAACTGGTCCACATAGTGAGCTAAATATTCTCAGCTATATCTTAGCAGGAAAAGGGCATTTCGGTTGTAGATCTAACCCTGGGCCAGTGCAAGGTGGCCACCTACTGGTTCTGAATTGAAGTGAGTGTCGTTTCAGGGTGCCCACTTCTCTTTCTCACTTTGTCTCTGCTGAGATGACAACAGGGGAGGAGCAAGTGGTACCCACTGGTTCACTTGATTACAACCTTCCACGACAGTCGGGTCCACGAGGATGTGTCCTGGACACTGCTAATAGCATTATTGATATTAGTTACCTTTATCCTGTGGTTTAATTCCTTACTAGTTATTCCCATTTGAAAAGGAAACTCTACTTTGTTTCGTTTTTAATGCACCAGTATCTCCTTATGGGGTTATCAAGTAAAGGGATCTGCCTTTATGTAAACACAACTCCTAACCGTATGGTAATGAAAACTCCAAGATTAATTAGGAATTCACAAGAACTTCCCAATGGTCCTGGCTGGTTTGGGCCTGAGTTTTCTGAAAAAAGAGTATTTAAACTTTATCTCTTCCCTGCAGACTAGTGAGAGGGAACAAACTGGATTGGAGTTCCCCATCCCAATGTGAATATATGTGTGTGTATACATGTGTGCATGCACATACATGTGTGTGTGCATATTTATGTGTGTGCGTGTGCATACGTGTCTACATATATGTGTCTGCATGCAAGTGCATGTGTGTGTGTGTGTGTGTGTGTATGTGCTTTGATGGGGACTGAATTGGGTTAGACAGTGTTGCTGTCTATGCTGGAACATTTTGCCAACACTCAACTGTTTAAGCTGACATAAAGACGGCACTACAGAGATATAATAGAAGCAAAATACTGCAGATGCTGGAAACCTGAAATAAAAACAGAAAGTGCTGGAAATAGTCCTGAGGGCTCTTGTGGTGAGAGAAGCAAATTATTCTGCAGACAGTCATACTGAACTGCAAGTGTTTCATCCTTCACTGGTGCTGCCTGATACTTTAGCAAGAATGCTCACTTTGAGAAGCATGCAGGCTTATCTCTGAACCCATGCTCACATCACTGAGGTCAGGCGCACAGCATGCAATGTTAAGGCTGGCATGGTGGCACTGTGGATGGTGCTGCTGCCTCACAGCACCAGGGATGTGGGCTCTATTCCAGCTTTGGGAGGCCTGTGTAGAGTTTGCACATTGTCTGTATGCGTTTGCTCTGGTTTCCTCCCACAGTCCAAAGATGTGCAGGTTAGGTGGATTAGCCAGGGTAATTGTGGGATTACATCGATCTGGTGGGATGCCCGTCAGAGGATTGGTGCAGACTTGATTGAAAATGGCCTCTTACCACATTGTAGGGATTCTATTACGGCTTTGGGCCGAATCTTGAGTTTTTGTAACAAAGTGTCAGTTTCACTGAGTTTCATGGACCATTTCTCTTTGAGAGATCTCTCATCGCATCTTACCAAACTCTCCTTATTAACAATCTACCTTGTCCCTGTGGCACCTCAACCTCCTGATTCCAGGCCCATCCCACCACTCGCTGTTCCTGTGGGAATTCACTACTCACCAGATATCTGCCTAAAGACCGGCATCCAAGCCACCGGTGCCATTTTAAAAGGTTGCTGTGTACCCAAGCAGGCAATGGCACTCTGATGCTGCCCTGCCCATCGTTCCAAAGACATTGAGAAAGTGGAAAATGGCATCGTGATTTTTCGGGAGGTGCTGGTGGATGGGCTGGTCCAGAGGAGGGCTGCTTCCTGGAGGTGGGCACTCTGCCAGACCGTGGCAACTAAGCCCGAGGTGACCTCCTGGATCAGTGCCTCCTCAACAGTGACGGAAAAGAGCCAACAGTGCCACAAGAGTGTCATGGACCTTCTCTGCTCTGCCAGGGTAAGTGCCACACTCTGCTATCTCACTCTCATTCTATCTCTGATACTGCACCCAGCTCCCACCAAGGCTCACGCTATGCCACTCTCACTATTGCTTGCAATATCTTCCCTCACTCACGCTTCCCATACCCCAACCTCTTCCCACACCTCTAATTCTGCATACCCTCCATGCTGCCTCCTCCCTCGCTCGGGACACCTCAACACCTTACTCATGTACCAGCAATAACAGCTGTGCCAGCTGCTTCCGTCTCAGTCGATCTCTCCATCTCTCCCATTTCAGGAGGAGAAGCCCACAGAAAAGTCGAAAGGGCCTGTAACAGGGGTAGGGATTCCCAACATTCAATTCCTCAGACCCTATGAGGAGAAAATCCTGGCTCTCACAGGAGAAGGGGAAGGGGAAGCCAAAATATCCAGTCCCTCCAACTGAGTAAATGCCACTCCTCACTTCACTGTGACTCTCCTATTAACCTCCTATCTGCCTCATTCATTGCACAAAACTTCTAACATTGGCCCCGAAGCTTCTCTCCCTTGTATCTTGCAGGTACTAGCTGGATGGCCTTGGCCACTGCAGAGAAACGTTCTGCTCCACCAGTAGCCACCTCCCCGTCTTCTGAGGATGAGAATTCCCAGGCCTCAGAGGAAGCATTGGCAAGGCTCCCTCCTACAAACCCCACCACCCCACCCCACCCCTGACCCCAGCTCAGATACTGACACCTCAATGGAAAGGTCAAGCTTAGCAAATGTGGAAGCACATTCTAGAGTGCACCTGACTGGGGCAGCTCCAGGGCTGGCCAAGAAAGAGACACCTCAGGCCGTAGGCAGACACAGGATGTGCTGTAGACTAGGCACCTGCTCAGCATCGAACAGGACAGGACCCAATGGTGTCAGCACTCAGGGACTTTGTGCATATGCTCAATGAGGCACAGGAACTGCAAGCTGGTATGTGGGGGAGTGCATAGGAGCAGTAAGCAGGTACATGGGGGAACAGGAGCAGCAAGCAGGTATGTGGGGGGTGGGGTGCGTACAGGAATGACAAGAAGGTATTTCGGGGGGGGTGATGGTTCTCATTATCCAGAGACTGCAAGAGTGCAGCTTCTCGAGTGGCCCCAGCTGCCTCAAACCTCCCAGTTTGCAGCCCTCAATCGCCACAAATCGGTTCCTGAGTCTCCTTCCCACGGCAGCTGCCCCCCAACCTAAACTCCATCCCTGCCTCCCGCACCCTCCTTTCCCCTGGGTTTCTGTCCATGAATCTGATAGACTGGCTATGACTCACCCTCTTCATTAACCAGGCACCCGCTGGCAAACATACCCAGTGCCTTGACTGATGTCTGTACCTCACCCCAGCTGTGTTAGTACAACACTCCCTGGACTGACTGCTATGGAGTCAGACCGACCATGACGCCTCTCCCAGGAGAGCAGAGGCACACACTCCCCGATCAAAAACATCTCAGCTGCATTCGTGACCGTGACCAATCTGCTGGGCTGCTGTTGCAGGCTACCCTTCACTAGCTGTGCTGAAACCTCTGACTGACAGACACTTCCATGGACTTCAGTGAGGACTACTCCGCTCAGACGGAGACCTGGCACTGCTTGTGCTGCATACTCAGTGCATAAGCTGCCGGTTTTGGGGCAGGTGTGAGACTGATGTGGCACATTGCTGTATAGCAAGATGCACAGCCCCTAGTCTGAGGACTGCTGGCCAGCAAGATAAGCTGCCTGGTTGCCTGAGTGCTCTCCTAGTCAAGACAATTTCTGGGTGCTGTGTGCATCCAGGGCAAGCGAGTGAATGTTGGGAGAGCATGCAAAAGCCTGGGTACAATCTGTGTGAGCCATGGACCTGTCTCTGCAGGCAGTGTCCTTGCAGCAGCCTTACAATGCAAGCTGCTAGTGTGCCCTGCAATGCAGCTCTGTGCGACCTAAGTGTCCTACTATCGTCCTGGATCAGAGGATCTTGAGCAGTTTTCAATTATCAGATGCCACTGTCCATGGATGTGTGTGTGGCTGGTGTCTATTGATCATGCCCCACAACACTGTTGTGTAGTGACCAATACTGGAGGCTCTTTGCAGCCAGTGATGAGCTGATGTCACCACTGAATCAGTCACAATGACCTTTTACCACCCTCCCTACCTCTAGGTGCCTGCTTAGACCATTTAGTATCATGATCCAGAGATAGTAGGAACTGCAGATGCTGGAGAATCCAAGACAACAAGGTGCAGGGCTGGATGAACACAGCAGGCCAAGCAGCATCATAGGAGCAGAGAGGCTGACGTTTCGGGCCTAGACCCTTCATCAGAAAAGGGGGAGGGGAAGGGGGTTTTGAAATAAATAGGGAGAGAGTGGGAGGCGGATAGAAGAGGGATAGAGGAGAGGATAGGTGGAGA